TTTCAAGAAATTAATGAATCTTTTAGACTTTGGACAATTACAACTGTATGTGGAAAACGGTATTATTGTTATAAATCTGAATCTGGTTGTTATAAATCTTGCTAATGCCATTAGTAAATCTCTTTAAAATAAACCAGACTTTGATTTTTATTTATTATTGTTATAATTAATCTGGAACTTTCAATGCTTAAGAAATTTATCAACGGATTGAATTACAAAGGAGTGGGGGGACTTGTGATTGACAGAAAAAATTTAAAAGTTTAAATTTAAAAAATGCCATTAAAATTAAATTGATTTTTAAATTTTTAATATTAAAAATTAATTAATTAGATATGTAATATACAATTTTCTTCAATCTCCACCACCATCATCTCCACCACCAAAGAATGGTACAGCTAAATGAAACCACCTAAAATAATAGATTATTGATCATTAATTAATTAGCAAATATATATATATATATATATATATAATAATAATAATATAATTGTGTGCTAACCCTCCACCATGTTCAGAATGACGAGAGAAATAATCAAAATCAATTGAAATTGCTGCTGCTAATATAACAGCTCTTTCATCCAATGACAAAGATCGTACACTACCTTCTACTGAATCCATTCTAATTACATATTGTCCTGTATCAGTAAATATCTATATATACATAAAAAGAATTAATTAAATGTGTTAATAATATAATTATTATTTTGTAAAGAATATATATGGTTTTATTTTACCTCTCTTGCAAAACCACTAAAATTACGATTAACACTACCAAGTAATCCACCACTTTCATCTTCCAAATTAAAATCCCACGCCCAAAATCCTGCATCAATTCTTGCAAATTGTCTTTTACTATCAAATTAATAATAAAAGATTGGAATGAATAATTAAATTTAAATCAATAAACCACAAAAAACTACTTACTTTACAAATAAATTATATCTTCTTCTCCATAAATGCCATTGTTGTTGCACTTCACCAATCAATTCATTATCTTGTCCTTCATAAATAAATATATGAGAATTAATCCAAGCAAAAGGTCGATGAACCTTTAACACTATTTCAGCCTGTTCATTCAATATTAGTGCACTAAATCTCCTATGTGTTCGAAATACTTGTCTCAAAATCGTTGAAATGAATGATGATTCCTCCTCTGCTATAAATCCTACACTGTTACCAAATGGATCTAGCATTACATATTTATTTGCTTGTTCAAATCCCTTTTTTATCACATAATAATTTATATTTTTATCAGATTTTGCTAATTAATTAACCAATCAATTATTTTATTTCTATAGTTTTTGTTTTTTCAATTATTTTACATATTATACATACCATAAAAACATTTAACATTTCTATTTGTCTACCAACAACTAAAGCAGACTTTGCCAAAATCTTTGATGCAGGTTTTTCATTAGTTAATACATTGGACACATTTGATGGTAAATTAACATCAATAGAAGCTGCTTTTGATGGAAGGTTTTCTCCACCATCATCATTATAGTTTTTATAACCTTGCCTTTTAGTTTTAAAGATGTCTATTGGTCTATTTTGTTGTATTCTGCTTGTACCAACAACACCTACTATACAAGATATAATATTTTTTAAAGGAATATTTTGATAACTTGGAGAAAAAAGAAAGATAAACCTACAATTTTCTCCAAAAATTTTTATAATACTAACCTACCTCTTGGAGTTCTTTTTAATGTTGAATAATAATAATTTTGTATATTTGTTTTTGAAACATAACATGTAATTGAATGCTGCTGATTATGATTATAATTAATTAAAGAATTTATTGATTTTTTTGAACAGAATTGTAAAGTTCTAATTGATTTGAATAACATTTTTTCTGAGAATTATAGTAATACGGGACATCAAAAACCAAAGTGAACATTATATCACCTAAAGATTTCAGGGATCAATTTAATATAATTGTGATAACATTTTTTTTAATTTTTATTATTATATCCCAACTAAATAAGTCAATTCAGGGCGGGTTTTTGAAATTGGACCTTGTTTTAAATTATTTTTGTACCCATGCCAAAACAAATTAATTCGTTATTATTATTTATTATTATGGAATGTATAGCAGTATCACCTTTGTATTAATTGGCTTTTAATTATATAGTAATAGCTGTAATAGCTAAAAATACAACAAAAAAATGCTTGATTAATACAATGAAGGAAGGAATGGGATAGTTTGTATTTATAAGATAAAGTATATTTGCATGAATCCTCGCTAAAAAAATTTTCATCAAGAAGTTTATGTAAGCTTATTTTTGCTCGTATTGAATATAAAGTTTTAGTTTATCTTTAGTTTTTTTGAAGCTGGTAAGTTTTCAGTAAATCTTTTTAATGAAGACACGTTTAAGGATAGGTAACAGTTGATGATGATAAATTTTTTACAAAGAATTTATAATGATAATTTTAATGATTGCTAAAAATACGTTATAATCGTTATAATCACAATGACAATGAAGATAACAATGATAATAATAACAACAAAGTTAATAGTAACAAAGATATAGCAATAAAGATAACAACAATGAACAAGGAAGGCAAAAACAACAACGCAAGCTTGAACTTTTAACAATAAAAAAATATCAGTTGGTACCATTTCAGGAATTTCACATTTGTGTGGGCGATTTCTGAGCGAGAAGGAATTATAAAAGCTCATGAAATACCTAGTTATATATATATAATTTTTGATATTAACGAACAACAATATTAATAATGAATGAAATTTACGAGAACGCAACGTGAGCTTTTGCTTTTTTACGTATTACACAATCATGCATGCCATGCTACTGGAGGTTAAAATTTTATTTATTTTAGTATCGCGTTGACATTAAAGTTAAGTTGGTTGGTATTGCGTATTCGTCGCAAAGAGTAAAAAAATCACATCACCTTGGTCAAGACAATAATAAATAGGAAGGCCCGAATTTTTTCTCTAAATTTTCATAGGTATTCTTTGGAGCATCAAAGTTAGCACCGGATGCGAAGAATCCTAGTGTCCATGATAAATGATGCTGTTTTTAATAAAATAGACTATTTCGTGGCCAAATGATTCATTGATCGAGTAGTCTAATAAATTACTACATAAACATATAAATAGACCCGCTACCCAACTTGTAAACCAAAAAATTGTGCATCATACTTGCTTTTCACGTTGCATTCGAACTCGGGGTTAAAGTACATGGTGCCAAAATGGCATTCTATGGTTTGGTTTTACACGTTGCATTCAAATATGAGGGTTAAGGAATACTCTACATTATTATCCATTTGTTGAGAAAAAATTTGTTTGTTTGTTTTTTATTTATTTTAATGATTAAAGAGTCATTACACGAACAAAGAATTTAATAAATTTAATAAAAGTCTAATTCCATTTGAGATATAGATGGCTGAAAAGATGGAAATTCCCTTGATGGATGTGTATAATTGATGAAAAGAAGCATGTATATCATCATTTATATAATGGTAATGATAACATTAAGAAGTTTATGAACAGATAATAAATATTTATTTAATTATATCTTGTAATAAATTTAATCTTTTCCATCGGGATACTCGATAATTATATTATTGTTGTATTATTATAATTATGAGCTGTACCCTTAGATGCAAGCTTCCGTCCTCTCTCAATTTGTTCCATCCTTCATGTCCTTCCACCATCATCTAATAAAAAACATATACATAGAAAAAATAAAGAATTAGTAACGAAAGAGCCACGCACTGCCAAGGATGATAAATTACATATTTATATGAAAACACATTTTTACCACTTGGTGCCTCGGAACCAATTAATTGTTTACGATTAAAAGCTTGGTTTTTTTGCTCTTATGGTAATCTACTAATACTAATAATTTAATGCATATGTACAAAGACCAAGATGTTTGTTACTAAATTAGGGCTTAACTTATTTAATTACCCGTGACAAGAATTTGGGATTTCGTAATGAAGCAAACCTGCTATATATATTATTATTAATATCTTGTATTTATATTCAAAAATTTATATAAGATTCCTTTATTTCAAGATCTCTCTTGTAAAGATAAAACAATTGGACCAGTTTCGAAGTTAAAACAAGTATCAAATCAGTCCCAGTTTCGAAATTAAAACAAGTGTCAAATCTGTCCCAGTTTTGAATCGGGTTTAAAATTAAAACAAGGGTCAAATTGGACCAAGAAACGAAGGCTTGCCTTTTTTTATTTTTAAAATTCTTAACTACAAAATGAATTATCTGTAAAGGGCTTAGTATATAAATTCTAAGCAATAATGCTAGTAGTGGTGTATAATGAAGATGAAAAGTTATAACCTTTACCTAAATAAGTAGGCAGTATAGCAGCAGTAGTGATAGTAGCAGTAGTAGCAATAGTGCTTGATGAAAAATGCAAGAATGAATTTTTTAGAAGATCAGTCATGCATAATTTTCATATGACAACAAACACAAAGAGACTAAATTTGATTTTGTAAAAGAGTTTCGATTCCATTTTATTAAAAATGAATAAATTGGAAGAATTGAAAATTTTATTTTATAAATAAGAATTTTAAAGATGACTTACATAATAAAAATATAAAATAAATTACTATATATACAATTCATTAATTCATAGATGACATTTCATCCAATACATTATTAGGAATTCTTCTATGAGAACAATACTTCTTTACAGCATATCCTGCAGCACCAAGAGACAATCCTTTTCTATATGCATCCATATATCTGAAGGATTTATGTGCGTATTTTCCTATTAATGAAACAGAAATAGAGTCCGAGGCCAAGATTACTGTGTTTGAAAGTCCTTTCCAACCGTAGTCACAATTTTCTCTTGTATATCTTTTAGCTGCTCCCCAATACATTTCAATAAAATTTAGTTCACAATGGAACTTGGGGTAAAATACTATCATGTGACCTTCTTTTTCTATTCCTTCTTGGATAATTCCTTTTTGTGCTTGAAAATTAGGTTGTAATTCTAATATTTTCAAGCCACAGCAATCTAATTTTCTATTTTGATCTCTTGATTTTCTTGTTTTACACTCAGAACATGCCCTTCTCAACCCATCTTTATATAGTCCTCTTTCTATTAAAGGTTGGGGTCATCCAAAAAAATCCTTAATCAACTACAAGTTGTTGTCATCATAAATTTTTTTGTACCACAAAAAACGTTTTTCTGCTTTCCATCAGGATGGACCATCTTTTGCTCAGAATCATCGAATACAGTATCTCTCATCTTTGGTTGGCTTCCACTATCATTCCAATTTATTTTAGAAATTTTTACAACGCCATCCTTCTCATGACCATTAAAATAAAGTCCTTTTTTATAAGTGCCAATAAGGCTTGCCGAAACCCTCTTAACAATTATCGAAACTCTGCCGATTGATTTCTGCCAAGTACCAAGCTCACATCCTAATTTTTTAAGCCAAATTTGTTGGATCATATATAGCCTCTTACTTGAGCAACAATGTCTTCATGATTCCATAGGCCTTGTATCTTGGGATGCTCCCTCTTTTTGAAGGATTTATTTCTGATCCATTGTTTGGCCCAGGCTCTAATGCATTTACTTTTATGATTTTTTGTCTAACCTAGAGATACTGCCACTATCTTCTCACTTGCTTCAACCTTTTTTTACCGTTACCTAAATTTCTAAAATGCATCCCGATTGTACTTCTTCAACATTTCTCCAGTATCATCATCAAGAGATTGATCTCTTATTAGGAGTTTGGATATGGAAAATTCATTAATTTTAGAAGGTCCGGCTGCTGCATCTCTCAACTCTTTGGAATGTCTTTGTTGTTTTTGATTGAATATTTCATCTAAAAAAAGACCTGCCTTTTTTTATCGAAGTGTAAGCGTCATTCACAAAGATAAATTTTTCAATTTGGTTCATACTCACATCCTCCTAGGGTTTATCATCGTCAAAACTTGGGTCAGATTCAAATTCAGCTTCGGTTCAACTTCAGATCCGACTTTAGAACTCAGATCTTCATTTAAACATCGTCACTGGTATTTGGGACATTATCTGGGCCGCTTCTTCATCTTTTGTTTTTGGCTAGCTTTGCAATGTGAGTTTGTCTGTCCATTTTAAGATATTGATTTATATTTTAATCGGAAAATACAAAGTAATGTTTAAATCGGGAAAAAGGATTCTAATTTTTAGTAAAGGTAAAAGAAATTTGATTTTTAATAATATAAAAATTTTGATTTTTAGTAATAGTGATAAAAAGAATTTTGATTTTTACATGCTTGCTATATTACTAGATGTATTTTAAATTTTTTTGTTAGTATAGCTTGGTAAAAACATCTTGCATTTAGCCCATAATGTGAATGTGGATTTATTTCACCTACTGAAACATAAAGTGGGATGTTTTATCATTTTAAATTTCTACAATTAAAAACGATTCAGGCTATTAATATGAAATTAGTAAAGATATATAATTAATAATATATAAAGGTTATTTGTATTTTGTAAAATTGGCGTGACTTAAATTGTGGAATGGTATATATATATATATACCATTTGTAAGGAATTCTAGAATGTTTTTTGAAGATGTTGGATTTTGTACAATTCCCATCGGCAATATAATTTGTGATGTCACGGTGCTTACCGTGTGTAATGAATGTTGTGAAATAGTTTTCCTTTTAATATAACTTTTCTATATTATTTATTTATTACTGTTGTTTAATTCTGACAATTTTCTTTATCACGCACGTTATTATTATATAAAATGTACACGTGACGTAAAAACTTCAATACTAATACTAATACTATTAATAATATTGAACTTTTAATCGATGGTATTATAGAACATTCGGATAGGTTCAAGAGAGACAAAAATATAAAGATTATACCCAAGCACAATAAATCATCAAATTGTTAATTTTAACGAATGATGATGATAGGAAAATCAACGATTAAAGTGAGTAACGAAGACAAGCATTGCATTAATTAATTAATTCTACCAATTAAATCTTAAGACTAAATAACTAAATCTTAAATGATTATGTATTATTGATATCAAATGAATAAATAAATACTAATTAAAAATAATGATATTAATAGAGATTATAAGTTTAATAACCTTCGGGAGCAGTTCCAGCAACGCAACTAGAACTAACTTCGTTAACATCACCATTCATTCATATTTTTCACCATTAATAAACTCAACATTATCGATATCAATGTCATTTTCATCAGATTCATTATCTTCTAATCTTTTACGTAATTTAGACATTTCATCTTCAATATAAGAAAATATTTCATCTTCGATATCACTATTATTATTATTATTATTATTATTATTATTATTATTATTACTATTACTATTATTACTACTACTGTTACTATTATTATTTTTATTACTGTTGTTGTTATAGTCATCACTATAGTTCCAAATTGATGATGGGAATATTGGGAATGCTGGTGCTAATTGTGATTGTGATTGTGGTATTTTTGATATTTTTTCATTATCGATAGCTTCTGTCTCTTCTTTGCTATTATTATCATTATTGATGCCATTGCTACTGTTAGCGCTGGAATTATTATAAACGCTATCACTATTATCATCAGAATCATTATTGCCATCATTGCAATTATTTAAAGATCTACTATTAATAACAAGTCTAATAGGAATTCTAGCAGGAACAGAAATAGGTGTAGTGGGAGTAAAACTATTAGTATTAAACGACCCAAAAATACTATTATTACTATTACGAGTACTAGCATCATTACTACTACTATTATTGTTAGAAGAGTCAAATCGAACAAAAGTATTATTATTTTTATTTTTATTATTATTATTATTGTTATTGTTATTTAATCTACTTGGATTGTTATTATTGTTAATATGATGATCATCAGAACCACCGAAAAGTTCATCAAGACTATTATTATAATTATAATTATTATTAGTAGTGCTGTTATTAGTAGTGTTGCTGTTAGAATCATTGTCATTTAATTCATCATCAGTATTGTTATTATTATCATTATTGGTAATGTTGGTATTAAATAATCTGTGAGTAATATAATCACCAAATCTGAATGGATTGTTTCTAATACTGTTACTATTATTATTGCTCCCAGTGTCAGTAATATTATTATTAGTTGAAAGACTTTCAAAATTAAAATCGAAATCGCGACCGCGATCACCGAATCTGAAAGGTGTTGGTGGTCTATTTCTCACATTATTATAAGTTCTATTGTTATCATTATCGTTATCATTATCATTGCCATGATTATCATTAGTAATAATGCTATTGTTAATTAAAGGTCTTTCGAAATTAAAATCAAATCTGAAGGAAGTTGGGGATCTTGGTCTATTATTAGTGTTACTAGTTGTATCATCATCATTGGATACATTACTAGAAAATCTTTCATGATTAAAATCAAATCTAAAAGGAGTTGGGGATCTACTAACCAATCTTCTTCTTCTTCTTCTTCTTCTTCTTCTGTTACTACTATTGCTACTACTATTATTATTATCATTTGAATCAGAATTACTATTGTCATTGTTATTAGCAAAATCTTCACCAAATCTAAATGGAATTGGGGGTATATTTCTAATATTATTAGATCTGTCATTATCACTCGTGCTAGTGGTATTAGTAGTAGTACGATTATTAAAATTGAATAAATTACTTGAAAGTCTTTCAGGATTAAGATCAAATCTGAATGGTGTTGAAGATCTATTAGTTTCACTCCTATTAATACCATCACTATCATTACTACTACTACTACTACCACTATTATTGCTAGAAAAATTTCTGAAAATTCTTCTGGGAGTATTATTATTATTATTTGTAGTAAATCTGAACAATCTTGATAAAGACCTAGTAGTTCGAGTATTATTACTACTATTACTACTGTTATTATAAGTTCTATCTGTGTAAACTTCATTATTGAATATATTGGTTGCATTAAAACCTAGAGGCCTGAAATGATGTGAAGAGCCGTTAGTTCCACTTAGAATATTAATACCAGTATTGTTAGTAATATCGTAATTCATTCGCTCTGGACCAATAAAAACAGGACCAAATACAGTATTATTAGTTTCATTAGCGCTAGTGCTGTTATTATTATTACTGGTTGTTGTAGTTGTAGGATCGCCAGTATTGGATGAATTACTGGAAAATCCTTCGTTATTAAAAAAACTGAACGGAATCGGAGGTATACCACCACCATTACTATTACTAGTCACGTTAATGCCAGTACTGCTAATACTACTACTATTACTACGATTGGTAATAGAGTTAAATAAATCACTGGAAAATCTATCAGGGTTATAATCAGAAAATCTTAACCTACTGCTTGCATTTCTATTAGTATTATTATTATCATCAGTTCCAATAGTTGTACTATTATTCCTAATTCTAGTTCTAGCATTATTGTTCCCGTTGGTATTAGTATTAGTGTTTCTAATATGATTGTTATAAGTAGAAAATCTACGAAAATTATTATTAGAAGAATCTCTAAATCTGAATGGTTGTGAAAGCCTATTACTTCTTCTATCACTAACTCTTCTATTAATGGTTCTGATTCTTCTGCTAATTCCACTATTAGTAGTAGCAATAGCAGTACCAGGCGTGTTGTTGTTGTTATTATTGCTAATGGTACGAGTACTGTTATTATAATTTCCAAAACTGATTATGGCTCCAAGTCTGTTACCACCACCATCTCCACTGTTGTTATTGCTTTCGGTATTAGTATTAGATTCGGTATTAGTGTCATCATTATTATCAGTAATATTGGTAAAATTATTACTACGAGATCTTGATAAAAAACCAAAATCAAATTGTAATTCATTATTATTATTATTATTATTATTATTATTATTATTATTATTATTATTATTATTATTATTATTATTATTATTTCTATTGCTGTTTCTATTGCCATTGTTATTATTATTTCTATTGCTGTTTCTATTGCCATTGTTATTGCTATTGTTGGTTGTGCTATTTCTTGATTCTCGTTCTTCTGATGGATTTCGGAAATTACTAATAATCAAAATAATAAAGTTAAAATAAATATAGCAATAACAATAACAACAATAACAACAACAATAAATAAAACTGATGGCATTTACAAATCCATAGTGAAGCTGCTATCTCTTCTCATTTGGCCTCCAACTATTTCTCTTGTAGCTGCAAAAAATCTTTCAAAACTTAAAGCATAATCATCTCCTTCATCATCATCATCATCAGCTTCTTCTTCCTCATATAAGTTTGAAATGTAATCATCTTCATCTTCATCAAGAATAAATGAGCGATAATCATCATCTTCACCAAAAATAGTGCTGTTCGTGTTAGAACTTATTAATCTATTAAAATCTTCGAATGTTGGAAAAGTGAAATGATTGTGAAAATTACGATTATGCCAATTCCATGGCAATTGATTAATAAATGGATTAGTGGTACTATTGCTACTGCTGCTGCTATTATTATTATTAGAATTTGGACCCCAGTATGGATCATTATTTTGTTCAATTCTAAGCTAACAATCCCAATGGTGCAATGATTATAAAGAGTTTATAAAATTATTAAATAATATAATTTTTTTTTTTTTTGGAAAACTCCATTTCAATAACAATAAATGTTTACGTACTATATTATCAAAAAATCTTAATGTGTCCACGTCTTCTTCAATGCTATCACTCAAATCAGAGTTAGATAAACCGAATATATGATATAATGATGATGGTGGGTATTTTTCTCTTTGCTTAAAAGCTTCTTTTGGTTCATTGTCATTATCAGAAAATGGAAAAGCTGAATAAATTTTAATAAGTTTTTCTACGCCTAATTTTTAATCAATTGAATATTATAGATATTAATCATTAATAAAATAAATCATTATTAATGAACATTAATATGCAATGAATTTCTACCTGATGAAAATATGTATGGTAAGTGTGGATGCCATAGCACAGTATTTACTATTGACCGATGGCCTAAATTAAAATTAAACAATATAAGTAAATGATTTTCCTAATAAAATCATTATTATATTAATAATGAATGATAAAATACCTCCAAGAACATATTCGGGGTTTGAATTTTCATAAATTTTTATTATGTTATCTTCTTTATCAGAAAATTCTAAAATAAATAAGAATAATAATTATAGTTGATAATTAATAAATCACATAGAATTGTATTGTATTGTATTGTATTGTATTACACATACGTATAACATCTTTTAAATCATTTTCTGTAGTCGGTGATATTTCTTTATTTGCTTTTAAAAGATTTAAATCTGGAATTTTCCACACATAAACTCTGAAGTCATCACTAAAAAATAAATAAACTTTATATATTAATTCATCATTAACTAATAATAACAATAGTTATTAATTCTTGGTGATAATCTTTACCTTCCAGTTAATATATAATCGCCATTTGGTCCACCAAAATGTGCTTGCTACATACACGCACACACATATATAACAATTAACGATGTAAAGAAAATCCAAATAATATTTATTTTCATAATTAACCAACTACCTTAAATGTGCCCTTATTGGAATAGCAAGTATTAGATTCTTTGTTGTAATTGGATGAAAATATACATAACGGAGTTTCTTCAGCTATGTCATATAAAGTTGGATAATATCTACTTATCATCGCGCATAACATAGTACCTGAAGGGTGAAACGTTACTGAACTTATATCAGGCCTTGCAGTTTTATTATTTTTTGATAATGTCGTTATATACTAAATGGAAATGGAATATTACGGTGTGGTATGATATGAATTGAAATGTTAAATTTTGAATTATTGGATCGAGAAATATTAGAAATCTGGTTTAAATTATAACATGACTGGTAATAAATAGTGCCTACTTTTACTAGTATGTCATCGCTATCATCTAAAAATGGGATTCTACTTTTCTTGCTAAAAGCTGTTCTTATATCTCTTAATCTATATATATATATATATATATAAATACGAGAGGTCCGGTGTGAGTGGTTAAATAAAGTTATTTCCTTAATAAAACATTTTCCCTCCTCTTACTTCACCTCATTCATCATTTCCCACCCACTTTATCCACTTTCTTTTACTTACAAAACTTTACCAGAGTTACTGCTTGTAACAAATTGTCTTTCAGTTACAGGACTGAATTGGACAAATGTCATGCTATCAAAAACCACAATTTCTCCACAATGATTTTTGCCTTTTCTTATGTCCCATAATTTAACAGTTCCTTTATAAATAAATAAATAGACAAATAACATTTTAATTTATAATGTAAAAAAAACTCGATTGATTAATTAGTTAGTTATTTGATCACATACCATCTTGACTTTATGATTTTAAACGAGAAACATAGATATTTATATACGTATATATATATATACACATACATTAATTACATAGAAATTCAGCAATTAATAATAATATTGATAACGAATTATAAATTACCTTGCAGATAAAAATATATTATCGTTAAAGGGATCAAACGCTATAGATTGTACAGCATCTAAATGTGATACGAACTTATCAACTGTCAGGTTACTATTGTCACCTAGATATGAGTGTAAAGATGTAAAGTTCATATATTATTAATGGATATAATAAACGATGTGAAATAGCGCGTACATACATTTACTATACTCAACATCATAGTAAAATATTGTATTATCATTTCCACATCTTTTCCCAACAATTTAATGGCAAATTATAAATGAGAAATTTGATTTAAAGGTCTTGCTTAGAAATTGATTAATAACTTACGATAAAATGTGTTTATTAGAAGAATCAAATATTGCCGAGAATACATTACTCTAAGAATAGAATAATAAAAATTATTTTATTATACCGTAATTTCGATATATGATTGATATTAAAGGCTTACAGAATGTGCTTTAAAACATTTCTTTGGTTTGATTGATTCGATGTCATCATACGTATCCCATAAAAGTATTCTTCTATCTAATCATTAAAAAACGGTAATAACGGAATTAATTAATTAAATTTATTAATAGCACATAAATATATATTTGTGACAATTACCATCACTTCCGGAAATAAGATAATTTCCTCCATCATGACTAAAACTATTAACAATTAATTGATTGATCGATTGATTAATTAAATATACATGCATACATAGAGGCATAGATAATTAGATCGTTGGAGAAAAAAAATCATCTTCCAAAAAAAAATCAAAACGGTTTCTTTTACCTTAATGAATTGACACAAGAGAAATGGCCTTTCAAGTCTCTATGATTCCATTAATTGGCCAAGAGAAAATGATGAAGTAACTGAAAGAAATGATATAAAATAATCCGATAAATGATATAATTGAAAAAAAACCTCGAGAATTCAAAATCACCATTAAATTTAATAGCAGCTTGATAAATTTGGTTTGTATTTTTTGGTTGTAAAGTTCCTAATGAACGTTTTTCTAATAATGTCAAAATTTCACTTGTTCTAGATAATTGTTTTGTGTGCAAAGAGGAGGCCATGTTTTTTATTTGAATATATAAATACTTTATAATAAAAAAGTAGTAAGGCTTAAATAAAAAAAACGATTTTGAACATGAGTAAAAAAAGAGTTTGCTTTTTATTTCTTTGTTCTGTCAGGAAGGATGATGATAATTATCATGAATTTATGTTTATCAGCCAATTAAAATCAAAATCATATGATTAATTAATTTTGAATTTTCGAAGTTTTATTATTATTATTGAAATATTTTATATAAAACAAATACACAACCTTATTAATGAATGATAATAATATAATAAAAATATAATCATCAATGAATATACAAATATTATATAATATTTCAATCAAAACCATATTAATGATATACATATATATATATTATATATATATATATTACTACCTAAAAAACCTTAAATATTAAAAAAAAAACCATATAAAAATATATAAAAAAATAAAATGTTCAATAATAATAACAAATTTAATATTATATATTACAACTTTCTTATTATTAAAAAAATTCAAAAAGTGAGGGCCAATTAAATGATTTTCTAAAAATTAACTAACTAGTAAAAAAAACTATTTACAAAAAAGAAATATGAAAAATGAAGATGAAATGAAAATGAAATGAAAATGAAAAAAAATGATACTAAATAATTATTAATTGCAAATCATTACGTTGTTGTTGTTCCAATCATCAGTATTTGTTGTATAATCAGAATGTATCACCGAGCGTCGATATTCTTCGTATTCAGTTGCCCAACTTTTAGCAGATTCGACGGTTTTGTCCACTTCGGTTTTACGTAAAACATTATAAAAATTGTCAACTGTATGATTTAAAAATGGGCTGTTTTTGGCAGATTTACGATGTCTTCTACGTATTACTAAAGATTTACTGCTGCTACTATGATTATTGTCGTTGATTATAGCCATTGATCTACGATGATTGTTATTGTTGTAGGTGCTTGATTGTCGATGATAAGTTGGTACAACTGGCATTGACCAACGATTTGTAGCTGGAATATTCCGATAAGTAGCATTAGCTCTTGCCAGTGGTCTTGGTATTGATTGAAAATGATTATTGTTGTATTGAGTAGGAGATGTTGTTGTTGTTGTTGAATTTTGCATCATCATTATTCGTTTTTTTTAATAAATTAAAGTGATAAAATTTTTTTAAAATATTTATTATTATTTACAGATTTGTTTTAGTTTTTCATAAACACACTTGAAGCCAGCTTAGATGTGTAGTAATATTATATTTTTTTTAAAAAAATTTTTTTATAATTAAAAAATATATTTATTTTTTTTTTTTTCTAAATGAAAAAATAATTTTTATTGAAAAAATTGAAAAAAAAAGCATGATAGGAAAAATCTAAATATTTATATGTAAAATTTTTTCCAATTATAATAATAAATAAACGATCTAAAATAAATTCATTTTTAATTACTCTCTTACAAAAAAACTTTAAATAAACACGGAGTACTTTAAAAAACGTATCAGATAGCATAATCAACAACGGTGACAAACAACTTTAAAAAAAATTATCCTTAAATGTTACAATTATTGATTAAACATAATGAATGGCTGAATCTTTTTTGTTGCTATTGTAAATCAGGTGAAACTTCTTTATTTATTTATTTTTTTCTTTGTGAAATTCTGTTGCATAACTATATGGTCGCACGATCCTTGTTGAGAATGGAACATTATTATTATTATAAAATTGCGTCGAATTAGCATTATTTCTATAACATCGAATCACGCATTGTCCAATCCAACCCAATTTAAAACTGCCGACCACCCAAAACACCAATAAAACCTAGTCTATAAATACTATTTTGTCAGCCAGTGAAACTAATCGAACCTTTTTAAGTGTTTGTATGAGTTCATTTTTGGCTCTATTGGCTATTATTTGCATAATTACTATATATATATATATGCGATGTACTGTCTGCATATCAAACATCAAGAATATATACAAGATTTCATCATCTATTTTTCATTCATTTTTAGTTTCATTATTATCGCCCTTCACCAATTAAATTTCACCTTCAAAAATAGACATTCACATCCATGTTTTTAAATTTTCTTTTAAATTAAATTATCAATAAATCCTTTTTATCTCTCGTTCTCTCACGCGCGCATATATGGAGGGAAGATTGAAAAGCAATATAAATCAATTTGGAGAGAAGAACAATTGATTAGGTTTCTCAAATAATTAAACAATGTTTATTTGATTATTTTAATCATTAATTAATTTATTAGTTGTATATACATATTTATTTATTTATTTTTTATAGATGTTATCTATATAATAAATAATATTATATAATAAATAATATAAATCTGCATTATTTACAAACATATTTTTATAAAAGATTTTGTCAAGGAAATATTTTTAATTTTCCATACAAAACTTTCTCTTTTCATCACTAAAAACCCGATTTCCACCCATTAACTGACTTACTACTACTACTACTACTACTACTACTACAGATTTATTCATTTCCGTCTCGAATAAGATTTCCAAAAGTCGGGTCAAAGATTAGATTCAAATTTAGAGCGAGATAAAGCTGATGTTTTAGCTGTTTTCGACGTTGGCGATGGCAATGATTGTTGTAAATAATAATGATTTGAGTAGTTCATTAAGAAAATTATAATTATAATTTCAATTTTAAATTAATTTTTAAATGTGCTCGCAAGAACAATGTCTTTTAACATAAAGATTGGCACCACCATTGTCTTATTACATTAATCTTCCAGTATTAGTTAGTATTCAGATTATACACTGAATTTTTTGTATATAATATGGGCTGGTTCATACACTCTTTCATATGATAGCAAATGTTTCCCGATATAGTCTGATAACCATGCGAAGGGTTTCCCCGTATTAAAAAATTAGATGGCAGTACAGAATTAATTCTCTAATTCCAGAATTCATAAATTTTACTTGCATTAGGAATGTTAAAATCCTAATTTAGCAATAATTGTCTTGACTTATCCAAGTGCTCATTTTAGGATGTTAATCGGGACCGGTCCTAAAAAGTCCGCTCCGGACTTTTTCAGTTCTACCATTTATATGGTCCTCATTAATTTTTTTTTAGTTTTAAAAAAATTTCCATCAATATTCCATCTATTTATACATCCATAACCAAACATAGAAAAGACATTTATACATAGAATATATATATAATTAATTCTTTTTTGTTTAATAAAACACTCTTGTGATCGGAAATTAAACAGTAGGGTTTGATTGTCTGGTTGGTTATAAAACCCTGGGCTTTTGGTATTTGTTATGGTATAAAGCAAAGGGTTGATTTTTGGTTTTGTTACATGCAAACATTTTGTTAACTTTTGTAAATGTAAATGTAAGGTGTTGAGACTGATTTATAAAACTATTAAGCATCAATAGTTATTACTGATCAACCACCTATACAATGAGTTAACAGTTATTGTTATCACATCTTGTATTGTATTGTGTTAAAGCAATTGTTGTAAATGTGTAGCTGACTTCAATCGACCAAAGGAAAGTAAAAATTAAAGTAAATAAAATAGGAACTCTATAGGAGCCTTTGTTGTTTTTATTATAATTTGTTATTATTTGTACATAAATTGTGCCTACAGATTTCTAGGTACAAGAAAGAGGCAGTAAGCAGTATAAATTTATAAAACAGATTAATTGACAAGTAAAAGCTTGCAAGTGTAGCTAAAAAGTTAACTCAAACTTGGTCATAAAATTGAGGTTGACCAAAAAGCTACCTCACAATATTACAGACATTTTATGTTTATCAGGGCTTAAATCTGGTTTGGTCCCAAGATAGGACTGCCAGTTCCAGGACTGAACCAGTGGTTAAGGACCAATTAACATCTCTAGCTCATTCGAGTTATGCAGCAGCCCTGATCAGGAGACTAGCCAATTGTAGCAGAACTCCCACAATTGTGTAGAATATAGAAAACAAAATGTATGGAATTCAATACCAATACTTCTATTTGGGTCACGAGATTTTGTTTGCTTAAAGTAGATGTTGAACGAATTGATCACAGAAGGAGAAGATTCAAGGGATCAGCAAAGCAAGTACTTTTTTGTAGTGACATTGAAAAATAAAAAGAAGACAACTATTGAATAATGAATTATTTTATTGCAACAATTATTGCTGAGGCATTTGAAGTAATAATGGAATGTTTACAAGATTAATCAAAGATGATGAATGGAAATGAAAACTAACTAGTATATAATAATTAGGTTTGGAGCTTTAGGAGAGTTCTCGTTCTGTGAAAGATCCAGTATGTATTACAAAGATTCTGAAGGTAGGTTATATTAAGGTTTTTTATATCTATATAATAACTATTTAATTGCCATTGGACAAATTAATTATCAAATGATTATACTCTTTTCATAATAATAACAATAATAATTATTGTTTCCTAATAAACGATTTTTCTTGGTTATTTCATTGTTATTTATAATAAGTAATACATAGTAATACATAGTAATATGAAACTTTCCAATTTTCAAATTTCATTAATATTAATAATAAAATTTTGGTTTTGCGGTCAAATTTCTCATTTTATTCCGTAAAAGCAAAATTTCTGGATTAGGATTTTTATAATAAAATCACGCGATATCCGCTAAATACTAAAAATTTCTAAAGAATAATCATATATACATCAATGACTCATTTTTTCTTGGGTATCACTCTACCAAGAATTTCTCTTTTTAATTAATACTTCTTGTCTTCCTAAATTTTTTTGTGATACACATTTAGGTTTAATTGTAATAAATAAGTCGTCAAAAATAGCAATGATAATAAGTGACATATTATAATATTTTTTAAAAATATCATATTAATATTAATATTAATAGTAATAATCGTAAAATCTATGACCACTAAACCGTGACGAACCGTGTAGCCCTCATATTTTACTTCCTGAAATAGGTTTTCTCAATAGAACTTCGATCTTAATTAATGATGATGATTGATTATTTCTGAATATTATGAAATATATGATATTAATATACAAGCCATCTAAAACTAAAAAATATGTCAAAATGATCTTGAAAAGAGGTCCTAGATTATTCTTTGATTGGTTATGGAATGGTATTCAGATGATCTTTTCCATAATAAAGAAAAAACGAGAGTCGTTTTATCTATTAATGCATCTTAAATATATAATATGCCTACCTACCACAGCATCAAATTTCTTTAAAATAGATCGTCAAATATTGATGATGTAAACTTCACCAATATGCAATACATTAATATCATCCATTCACCACGGAAAATAGTGTTGTAAACTTCGCCAACATTACTAATGTATCAATATCATTCATTCATCACGGTATATGGTGATGACAACTTCACCGATATATTGATATCATCACGGCAAATGGTGATGTAAACTTCACCAATATATTAATATCATCCATTCATTACAGAATATGGAGGGGGTTTTTTTTTGATGATAATAAAGAACGCGAAATCGATAAACTTGCCATAAACATTGATCACAAAGTCAAAAATATCTTGAGTTATTTCAAACCTGTGTAATTTAACATAATTCTGCGGTACAATAATTCAATGCTAACATTATTATATAATTATAATCCAATCCACGATGATAATTGGTCGTATATATGCATGTAAAGTTTTTTGATAGCATCATTTAAATATTACTAATAAATATACTTGTAGTGTAATGATATTTTAGAAACACAATCACCCAATGAGTTTTGCATTTATGGAAAAAGAAGATACTTACATTATAATTCAAAATTCAATGCCAATTTTAATACAAATAATAATCATTTTGGGAATTTCATTTCACATAATTTCGTAGTGGGATATTTTAAATGCTTTTAAAATTCAATCTAGGTCAGGGCCAGGCTCAAGGCTAGGTGCGAAGGCCACCGCACAATCAACTGATATTGAGGTATTAATGATTTATCAAAATTAAAATATTGTAGCAAAATATTGTTATAAGAGGTATGAACCTGCCATGC